GCGTTATTCGCTACACTTGTTTAAGTGCCTTCATTATGGTGAAGGCAGTGCATACCTTACCATTTAGATAGAAAATATACACACCAAAGCTTGCTTATCGATTTGCTCAGAAGATGTTCTAGCATTTGTTCTATCTTGAGCGTCTTGCTTCGCTAGCTTCAGCTGATCTGTTTCTGGAAGGTATATCAGTAGCGCCGTGACAGTGCGCGCGCCGACGATCATCAAAGGGTTCGATCGCTCGTGCGCGCCCAAGTTTTGCGGAGACCAAAACATGGCCGTGAGTAGCATGCCCTTTCGGACACGTCGTGACCTCGTTTTCTTTACATCGCGATGTGTTTCGGGGGATTACTACGGGCCTAGGAAAGTTGTCTTTTGATCCGTGTGGTTCATTCAGACAAGATTAGAAATCCATACCTACCATTGGACACAGCCCTTTGTTACAACTCAAAATACAACTTTTGTTCTAATCTTTTTTACAAACCAAAATTGTTAATCTTAAAGCGGCGAGTGTTCCTTCGCCTTCTCACAACCTGAAAGCAAGCAACTTAGGTTAATTCGTTATAGAAGTTTGCGTCGCTTTTCGAAGAGTAATAAAGGTATTGATTATTGCGCTCAAACAATTAATCAAGCCGCAAACACCGCGATTAATTATTAAGAAGGCATTGTAGGAAGATACTCCCAACATAAAACAAATTTATTCTATGGACAATATTATTCATGGCTCCGTTATCGTAATGTCCAATAGCCAGTCTCCCACAATTTTGTGCGCATATAGTTTGATGATCGCTCCGATTACACGTTTTCCTGTGAAATGCAACTGATGTCACAGGATGAAATGAAATTTTATGGAAGTTTCCTTAGTATGTGCTTGAGCATACACTTCTTCACAATTATGCAAGTACATATCCTATCGAAAGAAACTCTCATTGTTGGGAGGGCTTGGTGTGCAAAAGATTTTGCAAGATTATTACTTCGTTGCTCAATGATAAATAGCAAAAAATGGTCAAGACGACGACGTACCATATCATGCTCTGATTTGTCCACTTCATTTACAATAAGTTCTGCGTGGGCTACTACTATTGAAAAATATTGCTGGCGATTATTATGGCAATTGAAAGGTAATGGGGCTCTTGATTTACTCTACTTTGTAAATATTTCAATCAACAACAAGCATACAGCGAGATAAACGCCATTCATAAATGACCAACTTCATACTCTGACAACACCTTGCCGCTACTACTTTTCCGCCTTCAAAAATAGTTATATCTCTTTCTAGCATTTCTAAGACTTGCACCGCCTTACCTCAGTGTGCTCAAACCTTTTAGGTACAAGGTAGTGCTTATCCCCTATGCCTGGACAGGTGCCACACCATTCAAAAGGGCTCTTTGAACCTTTTCATTTATGCAGGATCATCTGTTTTGTCTAGCAAAAAATTCAGGAAAATTTTAGAGGTTGCTATCACTTAGGGCCGCATGCATTAGTATCCCCGCCGGGGAGGGGATCGCAGCTTAAATGAAAACTTCAAATCAGGAGGTCCATATATCTGGATCTTAAGCTGTCTACCTCTTGGTAAGTAATCCACCATCCTTCACTATGAACATATTGAACACAAGCGAGAAGCTGTGCCATTTTCCAGCTTTTCAAATGATCCTTTGATGATTGCCCGCGGCCGACCATCCTCGTTTTAAGTCATTTTTCTTTCTCTCAGTTAGCGAAAAGCTTTCAAAGCTGTACAAATTATTTAAACCAGCATTGCTTATCATGTAACTCATAAGAACAATTGATGTATCAAAGTCACGAAAATTGCGATGAACCACAGTTCGGTTGAGGCCTATCAAAAAATTCGATTTTTCAAAAACTCATTTGTTCTCAACAGCAACATGATTAGCACTGTTGTGTAACACAATAGATGAACAGTACAATTTTGGAAGGTTTTGATTTTTTTGCAGAAAGAAATATGATTTTGAAGAAAAGACGGTCGGCCGCCGGGGATCATTAGGGGATTACAAATAAAGCTGGAAAATGCGGCTTGTACAGCTTCTCGCTCCTGTTCAATATGTTTATATCGAAGGATGGTAGGAATACTTACGGGTAGTAAGCAAAGTGGAATCCAGAAGTTAGCTTCATGATATGCTTTTGACTGCGATCCCCTCCCCGCGGAAATGTTATTGCATGCCGCCCTTAGTGTGTAAAAACGAAAAAATCATATTTCTATGTTCAGGCGAAAAACTGAGCATTGGAAAAGAGCGTAACATTATTTACTAACTAAAGTGCGTGTCACTGTGTTTCAAAATAGTATTCTTACTAGAAATTTCAATGATACCTCTCCATTTAAGCTCTGGCATACCAGGCTGCTATGTTGGCATAAAATTTTCTCGCCTGACTCTTTTTTTCTGGCGCTATATACAGCATAAAGTATGCTACAAGAACGAAAAAACCATTTGATTTTTGACGATATAGCAGAAGAATCTAAGCATTTTCCAAAAACGCTGTACGAGTTTTTACTTTTGAGCAAAAACGAAGCCGTGTACAATCCAGATTAAACACATCGAAACAAAATCGTGGGCAGCATGTTGCCAAAGGTCACTGGAATTTTGGAGCAAACTGAGGTCTCACGCCCTTGAGAATTTGAACAGCCGAATGCGTCGAATCTGGAAATGCATTCATCAATAACTAAGTTGCCAAGCTTTAGAATTCGACAAGATTCGCACGGTGAGGTCAACATGCTGTAGATGAATCATATTCACTAACTGCTGAAATGAGAAACACACCTTAAGCTTACAAGAGAGGCTTTTCTGGGCGAGATAGGTATCATTTTTGTAGAGCATGTCGAGTAAACCCCTTCATCCAGGAGCAAAATACAAAGCAATCTTTGACCTCTCCCTTTACTCTTAAACCTGCTGCAACCCTAACATGCCGACCACGAAATTTGCGCAAATGGCTGCAGTTGTAGCTTGCATCAATATCTTACATCATGATATCAAAGAGTGATTGCACATCCAAAAAGACAAACTTTGAACAGAAGGTTACATTACTTCTAAACTTAATATTTTGGTGAGTGTTTCCGTCTCACTGCACTGCAAGCACAGACTGCTCCAACATCATTGATAGAAGTGAACGAGCTCCGTATTCCAGCAGTCAAAAAATTGCTACCGATGTAAGTGGTGTTACATATGGTTGAAAAGCTTCATATTTCAACACCTGCCGATTCTCGAGCAACTAAGCTCCGTTTTTGATGAAACTGCGGTTTTTCTTGTTCTTTTACCTTCTGATTCTCCCGTTGAGTGAAGATGATGCCTTTTTAAGCTTAATTCACAAATTTAACAACAATCTCAAGTTAATAAAGTTGAATTCACAAACCAAAGAATTTATTCTTTTTGTTTCGCTTGCTCTCGCAGTGCTTGCATTTGCGCTACGTTTGCGCATGACATTAGTTCAAGTAGAGGATTCATTCTGATGAAGGGAGATGAAGCAATAAGGAGCTGAGGTTGATTGGACAGTAATTATGATTCATTTAAGCTGATTCAACCAAAAAAATCATTAGTCAAAGGACATTTTAAACGAAGTGCATACTGAGTGTGGTATCAGACGTTAACTTTATATTGTTTTCCTTATCTACTGAGTTCTTTGTGTGCAGGGTTAAGAGCCGTTTTACAGCAAAAAACCTGTATGTACAAACAAAATCAAGCACATTAATGCTTTTTGACTTACGTTCAGGCATGGTTCTGTAATCTCACAAGAAAAGTACACTGAGTCGATCATGCTTGTAAGAAAATATATATGGTTTGTCTCGATCTTTGGAACGTTTTCTCAGAAGGGAATGGTCAGAAGTCGAAGTGGCCAATTCATGCAAGCTGCATACCATTAGATGCAGCATAAAACCGTGATTCTAAACCTGTCTTCCTTATCTGCAGGGCGCTTTTAGAGTGTTATAAGCTCTCACCAATAACATGCAACTCATAATGATTGGCTTTCAACTTTGTGACCCTCGTTTCTCAGCTGTGGACAGGTGACACAAGCCAGCACCTATTCAATCACATCGACTTACATCCACAAGAGTTAGGCCCGTATGCACTTATATCCCCGCTGGGGAGGAGAGCGGATCTGAGAGTAGTGCGTCATATCTCGCTACTCTAAGTATCTTTCTTCTTCTCTATCTTGCTTGTCAATATTCTTATACCTCAATACCTGCGCATAATTGATGCCAGGTTATTGGCATAATTGATTAGATTTTCACTATTTTGTGTGATCCCCGTGAAACTGAGAGGTTATCCCCAGGGAATCACCTCTCAGTTTCAATGCCATTTATCTTCCTCAAAACTCAATGAAACATTGTAAAATTGTACTGTGAATATACTATGGCAGTGCTAAAGATGTTCATTGTAGAAATTAGTGAAATCTCAGAATAACGCGAGCTAGGGATCATCAAACTTCACAATCTTCAGATTCCATTTCTCCTGTCGAAAACGCTTAGCAGTATCTTAGTATATCCTCGGTATAATTTTACAGCGTTTTCATTGACTTCTCAGAAAGACACTTTACAAATGAGAGATGATTCCCAGCGGATCCTCTCGAATTCCCTGGGATCAAAAAAATGGCAAAAAACAAATCTTGTATGGGAGTAACCTGACGTTCATAACGCGCAGTCATAAATCTGTAAAAACTTTGTAGGCAAGATGGAGAAATAAGAAGAAAGATACATAGAGTAGCGAGATATGACGTACTCCCTTTCAGATTCCCTCCCCCCGCCAGCGGGGATGTACGTGCATACGGGGCTCAAACGGTAAAGCGCCGATTTGAAGGAGGATTTCACTGCTGATTTTCTAGTAAATCACAGAGCTCAGCTTTTCTTCACATTTTGAAAGTGTATACGTACATGAGCTCATTGAGACATACATCGATTCTTTTACATTTCTGAAGGTCGTAATCACGCGATCGTTGCGACAAAAGTGCTACTATAAATGTTTGCGATATTTTACTAGATCTATTCTATTGTGCTGATGCAGCTGCTTAGGATAGCACTACTGTTTCCAATAGGTAGGTATCATCATTTCTTACTTCATATCCCCAAGGTTACCGCACTCGATGGATTTGTTTCTTCCTTCACTTTCTAACTTAGCTATAACATTGCGCCTTTCAACATCTATCAACCAGATCTACATACTGTGCTATATATGCCTACGCTATCATATTCAATTAGTCAGTGAGCTTGCATTGGGGGTTTCAGGCATATCAACCTCAAATCAGTGAAAAATTTTTGTTTGCTTTGCTCTGGCTATACAATCCGGCTGATTATACCGCAGTGTTGAACTAAAGTTTTATGATGTGATGTTTATAGCAACACTATTCAGAAGTCAAAATTACGCTGTACCAGCCTTCATCAGAATTCAAAGCGCGACACTGAACATATACATTTTCGAAAATGCATTTAGTTGGCTTGTTTCTCGAAGCGTTGAAGTCAAACGCGCAATAAGAAGCCGAGTCAAAATGCTGACATTATAGTACTTTTTGCATTTTCATAGATATCGAGCGGCAGCTCATCATCGGGTGAGTCCTTTTGCTGTTCCGTTTTCATATTTATCATCTCCCAGCCTTTTAGGCTTTCTGTAAATCAGCATCTTCAAACTGCTCGTGCTTATCGCACAGTAGCTTCCAGCCTAGTTTAGGCGGAAATTGGATTTGCGGGCGTCCGCTCGCAATCGTTTCCGCCGTTTCGCGGCTACAGCACTTCATATCGTGCTAAAACCCACGTCTGCGTCGCTTCGTTTTCCTTAGTCTTTGCTCGGCAAAATGCCGGCACTGCGCGCTCGCAAAGTCTTCAGCGGTGCGGACGCGCCGCTCCACGTAAAATGTTTAGCCTAATCCGTCTTGAAACATACTGTGTGAAACCCGCCGTCCGAAGTTACTCATATTACTTCTAATGTTACTTCCCTCTCAATTAATAGTCATCGAAGGAATGAAGGCTGAATAAACCTTGTGTAAGAATCTTGTGGTTTACAACAGCTGATGTAATTTCACATCGTGCTGCAGTTGCTTCTACGCTGCTTTTGATAATGTTGTTGCAGCCGACAAGCGCCAGTATAGCTTAGCACTGTAACACCGCATTCCAAAGCGTTTGTTTGTTATTCTGTTTTGAAGTCAGTTCAAATGGTATACCATCATCTTATATATGAACTCGAATCTGTTTGCCTGTCTGTCTGTTTAACGGAAATAGAAATTTTTATGGAACCTATCCGGATCAAACTTGGCACACACGTACTTCGGAACGGGGAGCGTGCCGTAGGCTAATTTTCGTTATTAATCGGCATCAATATTATCGGTTTTTGCAAAGCTCCGGCTACAGGGCTGCGAATTGGCGCAGGGGTAAGTGAGCATGCTGATTACAATTGCAGTATCAGTTTTAGACTTATCCATTAACTTTATCGATTTTATCGATTTTTTGCAAAGTCCCAGCTACGGGAGTGGGAGTTGGCACAGGGAGTAAGGGGGCATGCTATCCCGAAAACAAAACGGGGATAGGGAAAGGTTGCACAGTGGTAGGGGTGGGACATTTATCATAGTGTCTCAACAAGGCCAGGAGGAGCCGAGTATGCCAGCTAGTACAGCATGTAATCACTGATTGCACTGAATTATTCGACAACGATACAATTCTATACTCTATATAAAATGCATGCTCTAAGCGGATTTATTCTCACTCAACAACGAGACTCGTAGTTATAGAATTAGTTGACTTTAGCGGTCCAGCCCGGGCCACTGGTCACCTGTACTGCGAGCCCTCCCCCCTCCCTCGAAACCTCATACTCGTGATCCTGAGGTGAAAATGAGGTTCACCGTCCTCCTTTTCAGACTATGGGAAAATGCTTGGTCAAACATGATAAGCCTTCAATTCCTTAGAAAAACGTAAACAAATTAATAAATCGATAGAAGGACCCAACGAATCGGCGCAAAAAGTAGCCTATCATGTAGAAGTCATAAACGGAGGTTGGACGGCGCGCGTTTCTATGAAGTACATAGCCTCCAAACTCACAATTTTGAATTATATATATATATATATATAATCCAAATGAACAGCCGTTAAGACTAGAAAAATAGAAGAAAAGTTTGTAGAATTTACTGAAGCAAAATCGGTTAACCGCTCAAGCGTAGAGCCACATATGATCGTGTAAATCGTATCCTATACCATATTTTGCGATACTTTGATTTGCAGCCAATCATGATTTTAACAGCAATCACATGCAGCATTTTCTCTGATACACCAATAACGAGGCGGACGAATCGCTGTGAACATAGCGTCAGCTTCATCAAAAATGCGTGAAGGCTTCAGCCTTGTGCCAATTTTGAAGTACGAACTCATCGTCACATTCTCTCAAGCATAGTATATAGGACACATGATTTAGAATCAATGCGCGTTCGGAGTTGTCACTTCTACTTGTGTTCACGTGAAGGCGCGTTGAAAAAAACGTTGAATTTTTTCAATAAACTCAACATCATGACTATCTGTATACAACGACGAGGTCATTTCTTTCCATAACACTCCATGAGGCGCTCCTTAGTCAAAATGTTTTTTGATTTCAAATCTGCATATCCAGAGGCTTAGTGTTGTATTGTCCGATAAAGTGCAAAAAGCGGGCTGCTCAGTCATCAGCTAGTATGGTTTATTTCTAGGATTAATAAGCCTTTCTAAAAGCGATGAAGTGGAGACTATAACACATACTGTTGAAGCACCCACAATTCCTGATGCAGGCACAATTCCACCACATACGGGACAAATACAGGAAAAGGTAAGAAAACCGCCACTGTGCTTTTGAAATCATGGAAGATACAAAGCCGGAACTTAGAGTTGTTCAGCGTAAAATCTTGATTGATCCCAATAATAATGAATGCCCATGCACACCATTCAACATATGGCTAGACGTTTTCTTCCTTCTTGATTCATCGTCAGCAATGACTGTGAGCGGATTCCAGTATGTGAGTTATTGAGATCTTATCGCAAAACTACAGATATATACAAAGGCAATCTCCAGATTTCCGCATTCAACACATTAGAATAGGTTTGAGACTGAAAGTTCGGTGGAAAAAATCTGGGATGAATGTACCAAAGAGTTATCCTCAGATTATGATTAAATATTTAGATCACTGCGTACGTAGAATCTGCTCTCTTCAAGATGAGCGTTGGACTTGCAGATGGTCAACAAACACGTGTTGGGTAACTACAGCAATAGGTTTCAAATGATTTGCAGTGATAACGCGTTCCTAAGGTTTATCACTTATGGAGCTGATGCTCACTTGCATTACAATCTAACCTACTGGGAGTCATCTAACGATCTGCTGAATTCCTTCAATATGTCTTTAGAAAGAAGTGCCGGCACCAATATCGAAGCGTAAGTACAATATCTGACATTTTTCTTATCATAATAAGTAATTTTCATGAACATCTGGCCTCAATTGAACACGTAACCATGCATTTAACGATACGAAACTACTTCAGTTAGGTGTTGACGCTAGACCTGTTTTGCGCAAAAGATTATGAGGGGAATCTCCAATGCGTTGGTCCGTATTTTGCATTCTACAAATGTAATGGCAAGGAATGGGCAAAGCTGTAAATTCTTTGCAGTAGTCTAAGTATATAGTAGGTTATTTTGGACCTAGTGATCAGATACTAAACCTCTTTTGAAATTTTCTCGACAATAAAAGACAAGAATCCCAAGTTGCAGAGGTATCTATGGTAGAATGAAATCCATATTATTTGATGCATTTTGGTAAGCTTTTCCAAATTTAAATTCCGTGCTTGCTATGATATTAGGTTGCTGCATAAGTTGTCCGCTTTAATTTTTTTGAGTTCAAAACGTCGTAACTCCTTTCAAAGTCAACTTTTTCCAAGATCTTAGTTTCCGTGTGTTGGGCAGTTCCTTGGCTATCGAACACATATCAAAGACTGCGAAACTCCTTCAAGAAAGAAGCAAGAACTCATTGACTTCACAGCGTTTTTCTTCAAACCTGTCTTTCTTTGACATGACAATGCTCCCTTATGGGAAGGGATAGGCACCTTATCTAACAATGGATAGATAGAGAAATCTTCGTAGATTATTTTTTTAACATAAAAGATCCCATAGCTTTTGCGTTGTTTTTAATCGAGAAAAAGAGAAGCCACTTTTTGACCTCGCTTCAGCGTATGTGTGCATGCCTATTTATTATGAAAATTTTACAGCTGACTTGAGCGCCGAAAAGAAATTGGTGGATGGCCTCTGCTAGCTCGTGCTTTACCCTAGCACTTCCAACTTTAGAGTCGTCGATTACTTCTACTCGCAGAAAGTTATTGCTTGTAAAACATCTATACAATTAATGTTTGACAATAACTTTCACTAGCAAGACGTTTCCTTCAGGAAACTCAACTTGTGCGTATGCTAGCCTGTTACACCCTTATTCCGCGGCCAATTGAAAAAGACCTAAAGGCGCATTGCGGAGATTTCCTGGCAAGAACATATTTTCAAAGTGAGAACGTACCTCGGCCACTTGGAGTTTTAGGTTTGAAATCTCCTTACACTAAGAAATTTATTGAAATCTGATACGCTTTAGAAAGCGCAAGAAAAACACTTTCTAGTGATACTAACAGTACCGCATAAGAGATGAAATTCTCTTAGAACAGCTGCTTCAAACATACTTTCGATACATAGAGCCATGCACTCCGGTAACCTTCACTTTGAGCGTCATGATAGAACACAACCTTCACCTGGGGAGAAGTACAGAAGTCATCCGGGGCGAAGCCCCGGAAATTATGACATAACTAATGACATAACCGTATAGGGATGAATTTAAATGAGGCAAATATAGCAGTGACATTCAAAAGAAGCTCAAAAAACCGAAGGATTGCGTTTTTATGGCCTTTTTGTTGAGAAGAAGGTTTTTGTTTGAAAGTTCTATCAAAAACTAGGGCAAAATTTCTCAGTTAACCTTTCTCTGAACTGCGGTTAAATGTTGGAAGTTCATTAAAGCCGCTAAAGTTCAATAAAAAAGAAAAACTGCGCTCAAATCTTGCGCAAAGAGTCGCCATATGAATGCTGGTCTATCTCGTTATGGAGTGATTCTCAAGACCCGCGACGTTGTCAGTGCTCCTGGCCGTCTCATGAGGATCACAACGATATATAATTTTGCATGGTTTCGTTGAGACCCTGCGAAGATCCACGACCAGAGCCAAATGCCCCGTCGGCTCTGGTCTGTCTCCGCTGCTCGTCTGCGTCTCCGCGCGCTGCGCGCTACTTCGCTACCTCAAATGCGGGGCGCGGGGCATTTGGCTCTGGTACACTTTTCTTCGTTGTTCGGAGCCCAATTTCGATGATCTATATATCATATTAAAGCTCTTGATCTCTATTTCTACGCTGACAACGTCGCGGAATTTCTTTTTAGGATTTAAACGAGAAATCCTCGAAAAACGGCGTTTTCGAAAACCTCTTGTTTTTTCTTCAGTTTAACTTTTTTCACTCGGTTTTTTGTGCATTCGATAGGTCTTGTTTCTGTCTATGATGTAGACAACGTCGCCGAGCTTACTTCTTTGCTTATGCCGGTTTTTTTGTGAAAAATACAAAAAAGTGCGTTTTTCTTTACCTTGTTCTCTTTCTGTGCTTTTGCGGCGAATTTTTTCCAGCTTGGACGATACTTGCTCAGAGTGATGAGCGGAAGAATCCAGACAACGTCGCAGCGTACGAAACGACTATGCGGGGGTGAAAATTCAAGGGCGCATCAAAAATCAGATTGGCGTCGATGTGCAACACAACTTTACACACATGTTTAACATGGTCAATTCAGTTGTTGACAAGTTCTTCTTCTTTCGGTCTCCCAACTAACGCCACAGCTAAACAGCGCTTTTTTTGATTGGAAAAGAACTTTGTTGTTGTTGCCACCCAATTCTACCGGCAATCCTGGAGACGAAACTCTGCGTAGGAAACCACCAAGTTAAGGTTTCAGATTTGGTGATGTGCTAACCTCTGCTTTATATGAATTTTCTAAGTTTTCTAATTCAATTTGTATCTCTAAATTTTCGTCTATTTTCTGAAACAACCTTCACTTTCTATAAGGGGCAAGAATTCAAACAACTATCACTTTCTAGCCCTTGTCTCTTGACTATCGAAGGTATGGCTTCAAACATAAGGCAAATTCGGACAGAACTTATGCAGCAACCTAATATACTCCAAGAGAAAGTGCGAATTTGTTGAAGTCCTAAGGATATGCTCAGAAGTTTGTTAGAAGTTTGAAGTTTAAGCGAGAGCTTAATTTGTATTCGTTCTATGTCTGCGTTGCACACGCGAGACTTGACAGCAGCCAATTAAATGTTTCGAGATCAATTTTATACGTTCTTTTCCTTTTTCGTGTAGACGACAATATTGACGAGAAGGTCATTGAGATCGTCTTTGGGTATTGTATTTGCTCTTCTGCAATAGATGGCATCAACGCCTCGAAAGAAGCACCATATAGCCTAGCAGACCCGGCGGTGGCCAACTAGCCGCGATCAGAGTTTACTGTATACTGGGACTTCTGGTCGGTTGAGCTTAAACACCAGCCATCCAAGCATCTCTATTTTTTATTGAAGTGTGCTAAACGGTTTGTTGACAGACAGACCGGGAAAATATTTGCGCTTCCGTATATCAGCTTATCCTGGCTCGCGAAAGAAAGCTCTAACGCTGCTTGTAATGAGTTATCTTAGTTTTTCAAAAAAATTACTTACCTTCTTTGCAACAGAATCTTAGAGTTTACTAAGGATAAACTATAGATGCAAACAGAAGAAAAAGTTCATTAAGATTTCAATTAATATGAAATCAAGTCTCCAAAATGAAGCACGTAATTTTGCAGTCAGCAAAAACTTACTTATCTACAATTGTACTCTTATACACAGGTAATCGCCGGGGCATTCGAACCGCAGACTCGCGCCGACACAGAATTTCCTGCGAGATCGTCAATTAATTTTTTTCAGCGAGCGCTAGCCAAATGTTCAGCGAGCGCTCTGACTCTTGTTGGGCAGATTCGGGCGTACGCCGAGCAAAGTAATACTCTACATGGCAGAGGTGTCATTGTTGGATTTGATTACCCGAGTTTGGGGTACTTTCTCTCAGCGTGAGGTACCTAGGGCTGTGGGGTCCTTCACAAAGGAATGTGCGGCCCTCAGCAATTTTGATATTCTCGCGAAAAGTCCGCGAGAATGCGGCCACTGCGCCGTTATTAATCTAAGAAAAACCGCTGTTGTTCTAGCGTTCGCTTAAAAAGTGCCCAACATTTTTCCGAGTATCTGAAAGCGGACCGCAAACAAAACGAACTATTTTTTCGTAAATAGCATTGTCGCTAACCTCCGCGATTCTCTAACTTGGTGTACTCAAAAGACAATGACAGTTATTAAAGTGCTACCGTCATTAAGTCGTCATGTATTTAAGACGTAGTTACAAGTCAGAAACTATTTAGTGCCATTCGATTGGCTAATGCCAACTTCAATACTTTTCAACACCGACCAAACGCAAGGAAAGTCATTGTGATAATCGCTTCTGCATTCGAGTAAGTCAGCGTTGACAGTTACTTCCAGTCTATTCCGCGTAACAAGCCAGTTACATGGTAATCATCAGTGATAAGCTTGCATCTTACTCCATCAGTCTCTCTGCTTTTTTCTAGAAGTGGCAGACAAAACGATCCAGTTACTGCAGCGAACACTTTTAAGGAAGATGGAGGAGTCATTATTACCATAGGTGAGCGCCTTGCTCAAAACAAACATTTTTACTTATCTAACGCTTTTTCGCCACGCCTTAAGAACTAAACAGAAGTTAAAACTGCATTTTAGCTGCTAGATAAAATATGTGTAACTTGTCATTTGCAAATTACCCTAATTTCAATCGTATAAAGCGCGGATTTTTCAAAATCGACCAGCCCAAACACTTCAAAGGATTTTGTAACAGGACCCTGTAATGTGCTGTCTATCGCTTGAGAGAATCGTGCGATGTAAGGATTTCTTTCCGGAATAAAGTGAAGCGGCTGAGCGGCTGGCTCGAAAATTCGAAAAAGTGCGCTTTATACGAGTGAAATTAGGGTAATATGTGAGACTGCACACTAAGCCCTATTAGCGACTGCACCCTTACTGGTAACTTTCGAGTAAAACGTTTTCTAACTTAACAAATTGACCAACATGTAATGAACAAAAACAAAAGAGAAAAGGAAACACGCAGAAATCACTGGAAATGAGCAGGTTTTAATTTTGCTCTTCGTCAGTCAGCGTGTTTAGTGTGCACTACTCATATTAAGTTACGAATGATTCGACGATACATGTATGGCATTTTGATGGTGCCATATATGCTTAACTTACTTGTTCAGAGTATGTACAAACGCATGGAGCTCCTGTACCTATGTTGGATCTCCTGGCTAGTCCTGGCTATGCGCTTACCAATCGTTATGGCAAGCTCCATGTTTGGAGCTTACACAAACTCTTCTGCAGAGGTAAAACAATCAAGTCACATAAACTATGCTTTGAAGGCATTTTATATTCCACAGACACTTTTACTCATGTTCTGCGCTATCACACTATCTTATTTAGGGACAAAGGTGAACTCTTGGCTCCTTAAACTGTTCGTGCCGTGAGAAAGACGTGCAAAGAGAAGGATTGAGAGCTTGAGAGAAAGCGCGCAAAGTTTGATTTTGGTTTAATAATTGAATTGGAGTTGGAAACCGTCATATCAGGTGGTTATAATCAAGCGAATCCTGTAATTTGAATCGAATTATTGCCAATGTATCGCATCCTATGAGTCAAATTACCACCTAAATTGAGGGGATAGAGGGGATAGAAGTCCTCAAATTTCACATAATATACATGCACTTTATTTAATTCAGAAGTGGCTACGCGAAATGGAGTGATACACAAAGCGATTATTCCAGCCTTATAATCATTAAAACATATCGTAACTCAACCTACGATTACTGCAGTAATGCGGATCCACTTATCCTCTACAATGCGGCCTATAGTTAGAACCTTGAACAAGCAATTATGCAATTTCATTGTGATGATTTATGTGTACAAATATATACTTTATTTATATTACAAAAACGTGCTCAACTTCTCCAACTTCATCAACGATACATAAAATGTACAAGACCAACTCAAAGAAGGCTGCGCTGATTTCTGGGCTATTTTGAGTGATTTTCGTTTGCTGTAATCGACATTTAGCTGCTTTGATAGGCTTGAAAACTTACATTTAGTAATAATACAATCGTCTAGCCTGAGGCTGCAATGGGTTTAAAGCCCTGGCCATACGTACAGCGATTTCATCGTCGCGATTTCATCGCCGAAGCATTTCGTGATTTTAGCGACGAAATCGCGACTATCATATCGCTAATCGCGAGTTCTGGCCATACCTGCCTGTTTAGCGATAAGGTGAAAATACACACTCCAGACTTGTTCTACGGTTTCTTTTGGCTTTCAGAAGAAATATTTAGTGTGATTTCTTTACATTTGCAGGTTTCTTCGTCTTTTGACACCAATAAGTTCTTTCATCAACAACTTATATTAGTTTCTCGCACATTTGCATTCATCATTCAACCTTTCTCATTAGATACAAGATGTAAAGCCAATTTTACCAAGTTAGCTGCGGTTTCATACGTTGCTAATTTTTTCGCGATATTCAGACATCTAGATACTACGTATGCTGTTTAGTTACGAGTTTCGAACAACCAAAAATATTCACTTTGAATGAAGATACGAATTAGAAGAAAAGCGCAACACAACACGAAAGAAGTGCAATTTAGGAAATCTGCATTACATCTTAACGTCTCAGCAAAAAAAACAAGTCGAAAGAAAAAAGAATTGTTCCAAAAACTCTCAAAAAAGGAATCCAATTTCAGCGATATCGCCCCGTCGCGGGTTTCAAAGTTGCGATGCGGTATCGCAAGATTTCGGCCAAATCGGACGACTTCCCTGGAATCGGTATGGCCTAGGAAAACACAGTCTGCGATCCGTCGCGCCGGACAGCTAGCACGACCGATATGCATGATTTGCCGGCATGAAATAGGGGGAATGGCAGTTGTCCGATTGCACAAATCGCATCGCGGTGATTTTTTTTGACGGTATGGCCAGGGCTTAAAAGTCGTTGATCTTGGTTCACAATAACTCTTGGGCAGTCAAGCACTCAACGGCAAAGCGCGTTTTGAGGTCTTAACAAAAAAGCCGAAGAAAATTTGTTTAATAATGTTAAAAACCCAGCCTATGCTGGATTCTAAATGACAAATAGAAAATTTTTTAAAAGTGCAACTTTAGTTTTATTAAGCCAACTGCTTCTGTCCCACTAACTACAGACCGTTCAAATGGAGAGGTGATATCCCATATGGAGGTTGCTACAAGATGTCAACGCTTCCATCTATGCAGGTGCGACCATTGCGTAAAAGACTCTTGCTTGTGTTTTTACCACTCCTCTTCTCTGCATTGCGAAGCAAAACCAGAAAGCTTTTTTAGTTTGCAGCAACGTCTTCGCCCCAAATCTCTTGCACTGTATGTTGACTGCCGTGCTTACGCATATGCACAACTGAAAATCAAACATCATAGTCGAACTTCGAACTTTTGTAATTTATCGAGAAGTGGTTAACTTTTTGATGAGTCAAAGCCAACTTACTGTTTGCTACAATTACCAAAAAACTAAGAAAACTAATATTAGTCAAATTAAAAACTACGTAGAGTATACATTTGGAACTTAATTTGGGCTGCTGGTTCTTTGCTGCTACAATGCTGAACGTTTCGTTAACTGTCACCTAATCATTTAAATCAATTAGAAAAAGCCGTCTTCCATTAGAAGCACGTTATTCACCTTTTTCACCCATTTTGTTAGGGCGATCGGTAAAAAATGGGGCAGCTTGATTTTTATTGAATTTTAGATTTTTCGTTTCGATCAACAACAAGCAGGCTGCAATGAAATGTCGCTTATATAAGCGAATTTCGCCTATTATTCTGGCAAAGCGTCAACGCTTCTCTCCCACAACCCTACGCGTGGCGCTTTGAAGAACTCGAATTGGGTTTTTTGAACATCGTTCATTCTTGCGCTGCCATACGGTAAAGTTATAGAGCAGCTGATATACCATTCGTAAGAGTTCTTCATGCTCTTCCAAATGATATATTGAACATACACGATTTCGTTCTATTTCCGGGTAAAAAAGGCGAAACACAAAAACTGCGATTTTTTGGCGCAAGAAAAACCAATAAAACAAGTTCAATCTGTATTTTCCGAAGATAGATAATAGAATGTGAGGTAAGCTGCATATAGATAGATAGAGCGTTAAAAGCTTCAAATGTTACCCATAAAACATGCGTTCACCTGCAAGGAATTGAATAACGCTCTTCGTTCTCGAAGCTGTTAATAGCCATATCTCCTGACTTCAAGCGCTGCGACCACCAAGCCATGGTGGATTTGGTGGCTGTACCTTCACGCATTGCAGCAGTAGTACTTTGGATGGTTTCGCATGTTTTACTGCGCAGATACTGCCCGAATTATAATATGTCAAAGAGACTAACTTTGCATTTCAGCCACTATAAAAATTTTTAGGTTTGTAAATGACCTTATATGGGTATTCACTGAAAGAGAATAATTTATTCCAAAATTGGGAAGTTTAATCGCTTTTCTTTTTTGAGAAATCACATTTGTCTCTAGGCGCCCCATTTTTTTACGATCACCCTAAAATTTCATGAACTTTCTTTGTAATTTTGCAAAGTTCTCAGGCACTCGCTCAACGAAGCTGCCACTGGCATTTCAATGGGAGCCTGGCATCCATAGAAAGCAGGGGCAAAGCCAACTTCCTCATAAAAAGTACAAATCTTTACCCAGATTTTCCATTTGCTTAGTTAGTATAATTGAGTGATGCGATCAACGAACTCATCGTTTTGGATTGGCCTCCGTTACAAAGATCATGCTTATCGCTGGGCTTCTGGGGACGCTGTAAGCTTTCGCATGATCAAGAAATAACCGGCAAATCTTCCAATGTTTGCAGATAAATGAAGGTGATTTCAACATGTGGGCAACTCATTATCCCGATTCACAGCAAGGAGATTGCGTAAAGATGGAGCGTTGCGAGGAATGTGAGGGGTAGGTTTAACAATATAGAAATTCTTATTACTGTTAGCATGTTCATGTTCTTATAGGAAGGTTATGTGGCTTAACGATCACTGTGGCAAAGATTTACTGTATGCATGTCAAACAACAGCTTGCAGCACGGACCATTACTGTCCCGACCTTAGATAGCTCAAACATCTAATTTCACGGTATTCTTTCAATAAAGAAAAGATTGTTGTCGAGAAGTGTTAGATAGCCATTGCCTTGGTATCGCAGTTGCAGGAAAATGTTGATCTCAAAAGTGATGATATTGTCCGCAGTCGATCTAACAGACTACGACTGCTAGAGAATATAGACATTACAAAGCAAAAAGATTGTCAGTTACTAAGCATGCCTCCATCCGACATGTATAATGTAAGAAAACCTCATAATAATAGTTTTTCCGCAGTGCGTACCACTCGAACGAACGAAGCATCATAGTTTCTTCCAAATATCAAATTAGTAATTAGAAGCTCATTTTGAAGAACGCTGTGCGAATGGCTACAATCTCCGAGCATCCTTCCCTTGACATTCAAATGAGCGTGTGTATAGGGTACCATGATTGTTTGAGAATCAGAATAACTTTGTCGGTAGCGAATCGAAGTTGCGCACTGATACAACGATGAAAAAATTGAAAATTTTAAAAAATTAAGGTGGAATGGTCAAATGATCTGCAACCATATAGCTCATGAATCCTCGCAGAACTCGACTCTGCCCAGAATGCGTCTTACAAACAAGATAGAACATATTGAACTGGTGCTTTCTTTAAAATATCACGAATGAAATGAACACGTATACGCACGCACTAAAAGGTAAACACATATTTGTGGGATAAAGAAACCATATTTTGGTGTCGTTTTGTAATACTGCAATCTCGACGTTGCATGGAAATTTCATACAACACATCGAAGGAAGGCACATCATGCAAAATAATACAAGATTGCGCTAACAACGTATGGTTTCTCCCTCCATAAAATGAACGCCCTTACTTTGGTGCAAATGCTTTGGAAGGGTCCGTAGCCAGTAACTGCAAGTTTCTCCTTGCTCGAAGCATTCAAAGTTAGAATCCCGTTTGCGCACATTGTCTGAGAATTCGCAAATAATATACAGACTATAGAATAGAATGGATAACATGACGTTGTCTTATCTTGAAGTGTGACAAATTTCTGGTACATAACAAACATGCTTAGTTTGGCTTCAGTGTCTTGCCGATCTGGTAGCATTTTGTATAGCTGCTTCAACAATTCATAGGGAAGCGAATCTCCAATCCTTCTTCGTTACTGTAGGATTACGTTAGAAACTTAAAAAGGGCTCTGAGAGCCATTAAGAGCCACATTTTGCTTCAAAGGAAGCTAAACAAGCAAAAAACTTTTGTATTAGGCTAAAAGTGTTGGGTCCAACATAAAATTTGCACATTATACTCATGTTTCTTTCAAAGGTTATTCCAAGTAACCGTAACTTTCTCCACTATTCTTCGGAAATGTGATTACACACTAGACTTGCTTAGACTGTAAAAAGTTGCGTAATGAAATCAGTATGCGTAATCTTGCTACCAATTTCTCAGTATTTTTTGAATGGTTCTCATCATGCGGCATATTTTACGATGTGTGCTGAAAGTTCCGGCACCACGTCAGGAAGAACACCGCGTAGATCGAGTTGGAAATTTGCAACCCGCAGAACTCTCCGATGCTAGAGTGGCACGGCGGCAAACTGGGGGGGGGGAGATATATTAGTAGGTGCCATACTTAACATGCGCCAGGAGCGCTGGCTCTTGCATGAATGACATCACTTGCAACATGCTGCGCGATATATTGGCACTGTCGGTGATTCATGATTGTTTCCAAAGGTTCTTACCGTAATCTTACACTGACGAAGAGAGGTAGGAGATTCGCAATACTGTAAATCTATTGAAGGCAGCTCTACAGGAGGTGCTGTAATAGTAACAAAAAAATATGAAGCAAAAGGGTTACTAACAAACAAACAGTGTGCACACCTTTTGGGCTATATCAAATTGGAGCATGTGTAAAATCCTGGAGCTTTTGAAAACAATGTGTACGAGCATACAACTTGTTCTTGAGGCGCGATTCTGATGGTAGGATCAGATGGTGCTCGCAGATCTATTTCAGTCAAGCATATAAGCTTTGTAAAAATGGTCTTTCATTCTTTCATAAGGTTATGCGAGGTTAGAAATTTACTCTCCTTGGTTATCGTAACAGCAGCCCTTGATGCTCCTTTCTTACAGACCTTTAGAGTTTGCATTTTGCTCGGATTTTTTTGCCTTAGAATTTGCACTGCCAAGCTACTGCGTTTCAGGTATACGTAGCCTAAAACTCGAAATATTACAAGCTGAAAGGATTTTTAGCTTTACTAGGTAATAAAAAATTTTTCTCAACCTACTGTTTTCAAAGTTGAAAAAAATCCACAAGGTTTTTAAAAAATTTCTATCTAACCCAGTGCAAAGGTTACCTCCGTTATCGAAATGAGCGTAAGGAAAAATCGAAACGTAATCGAAACGTAAAGAAAAGTAGGAGTAGTTTTTCAATTCTTCTCTAAATCAAGCTTTTCGTTCTCTTCTACACAACTTTCTATTGCCAGCCATTACTTTTAGCACAACACATAAAATTAGCGCTAAAGTGAGTTCTGAATAAAAAGAGATGAATTTCGAGGCGGAAGCTTGAGTTGATGGGCAACCACCTAGTTTCTGGTAATGAATTTGATTATGTTTACAACTCCGTAGTACTTATGGAACTACAAAGCCCAGGACATCAATGTGAATCGAAAAGCAGAAGTATATACTTTACTCTCTAAAGTGCGGATTCCAATAATATTTACCCATTTTTCCATCAAACCAGTTTGTATTGCATAGGGTTACCATGAAATCCGAATGGTCTGGCATTCCACTTCCAAGATTATTGATGTGCTTCCAAACACTGAGGTATGCTTGGCAGGATACGGATACAACACTCTCACCTTTTGCATCTTCAAACACTTGCCCTATATTCCTAATTTGTGAAACAAAACGGATATAAGATCATAAAGTGAATACCTCCTATCCAAAAATTAAAATGATTGTTATATGGCAACGGCGCCTTTTCGCAATCCTCTATGTGGACAGAAAATTGACGGCTGAGATCGACGAGATTCTGAAAAGATGTTATTAAGCCTTTGTGGTTGTACTGGGCAAGAATTACCTCATGATTTCTGATAAGATAATTGTGAAAGGTCACTCTGTACTCATCCAGATTTTCATGGTACGTTCTATTTCTACGACGAATCTTCCAGTGCTGTCCACCATGACTCCTCACCATAGCAACTAAAATGTCTTCAAGAAAGTTCTTTTCTTCAAATTTATCTAAAAGCAGGCACCATTGAAAGGTTCAAAAGGAAAAACAGCATTAGTTGATCAAAATCAAATATGAGATTGGATTTTTACATTTTGGGAGCACCACCGATCAAAGCTAAGTACATTTCTGTGTCTCTAATGGTATATCATCCATTTCAGAGAACGATCCCACATATCTTTGGTTTTAAGCGTCAGAGTGGCATATCCCCAAACGAATATAATGAAGACGTTTGTCAGCTAGCAGAGCTGACAAACGTTTTCATTCGCTCAGACACTAAGCAATTATAAGTTTCGAAACTCCACTGGGATATAATCACAAATAATTGGAACAAAATATAAAAGTTAGGTCACTAAATTCTCTCGAATTATTTGATTTAGACAAGTATTTAAAAGAGGAAGTTTTACGCTTCCACTTGAACAAAGCTTTGAATGACGCCGTTCGAAAAGGAACTGAAGACAATAATTTTCGTAATCTGAGGCTACCATAAATGCTGCGATAACGTCTTGGATAGGTGTAATTGATTAATGTGCTGTAGCAAACAGCCCATAATCCACAAAAAGTCATTTGTTATTTCTTTAACACGAAAATCTTTTTCTCCTAAGTTTTTTTTAAAATTTAAGTTCTATTATTTAGGTCACTGACACTGTCCTAAATAAATCTTTGATCCTTCCGATGAACAACTTTTGGTCCTGCGAGAATAAAAACAAAAAATGAGCAAACTAGACATGTTCGAGCAGAAGTGCAGACAATGCACTAGTTCAACTTAGGCATTAGCAGGACCTAAACATCCTGTAACGAGTGAATTCTTGTAGATTATCTTGTAAAGTTAGCGTTTTAGCAAGGTTTAAAAGGAAAAGAACACAATTATTTGATGGAATACCCTACTAGGGTGGTGAAAACAGATTCATGCTAAAGTCTAGTTGGTTTTAGACGTACCGAACTCAGCAGTGCAAAGAGTCTCCACAGCATCATATATAGCCAGCATGTGAGGTATGGCTACGCTGCTTCCACAGATAGAAAAATACATCAGGACTTTGATTAGTGTTGCGACTAAAGAAGGCAGCCTTTTCAGAGCATTGTGTACAGGACATAACTGCATATGAAGGTTTTGGTTACGCCTACCATTATTTAATCATTTCTGAGTGTCCTCAATATTCAGTCAAAGTTTTTCCCATTGAGTCGCGATTGATTGTCAATGTAGTTTCGTATTCAAATAGTGCGTTTCAAAATCAATTTTTGGAATGAAGGTCTTTGATAATGGCTGCGATGGCATAGCGTTTCTAAATATGACAGGTAATTCGTTTATACTTTCCATGTAATTGAACATGTATCCAGTTACCGAAAGCATTGCAAACTTGCGGAAGTGAAAAAGCTTATGATTTTTGCAAATATAAAGACCTTGTTTGTGTTAGCGTTTTATCAGACGAGGTCACACAAATTTTTCACCTTGATTTGTAGTCAACACATTTGGCACATACAGGCATATTTGTTTGGAAATGATCGAATGTGTGCTGACCTTACTGTATTCAAAGAGGCGATCATGTTTAAAGAGGAATTTTTCCACTGCAGGCGTACAGCAAACGTGAAAGAGGGGTGAGGAGTCTCAGCGCTTGCCATGTTTGCCTGAAGCAGAGGTTGAAGTAAAAGAGGATGTGGAAGCGAAAGAATCAGCGATCAATTCCCCGACTTCTTTGTGTTAGGTTGTAAAGAAACTTCCCGGCACTTTTGGAAATTTCATTTTCAAACGTATTTTTTCGGTGCTCGGTCGGACTTTGACACCAAGTTTTTTTTATAATGTTCAGTAAAGGGAAGCCTGAAGTTTTTAATACGCCTTCTGACTTTTATCGATGCCAAGACGTGTTTGATCTGCATGTCAAGAAGAAATATTTTTTCAACTATAAAAATTTCACAATTTTTCTTCCTTCGGCCATTTTTTGCGCAATTCAAAGAATATCGTCCAAATCACGGGTGATTTGATTGAAAAGCCTGTTAACTTCTGACCCGCCGGTGTACTCGAGTTTCGCGGTTTGCGCTTAGAAATTACAAGCTGTCGAACTTGCTTTTCACTGCAACTGTTTTCGCAGCTAGCGTCGCTTCTACGGGGATCGCCACGCCTGGATGATGGGTCCAAACGATGTGCAACGCATTACCCCAACAATGTTTCCAGTAATCAAAAATTTGGTTTTTTCTGTGCAGACCTAGAAGACTTCAAAGTCATTTATTCTTTAAAAATGGTGCATTATTAGGGGCAAAAAATCTTCGAATTTTCGAATTTTCTGGGGAAAATTTTTTCGCAGGCGGTCCTTGAAAAACATGAACGGTCTCCATAACAGTTCCAGCAGACCTATATATAACTACGGCATCTAGCCTCACCAGCTCTCATCATGCCTGAGATAATCCTGCACAAACTGGCCAACTTTCGCGACGACCTTTTTCCTTTCTGCGCATGCTAATGGACCGCAGTGAGGCGCTGAGATGACAGCAAGACAGATATATGCTGTAGACAAAATTGTCTTCGCAAAAAAGTCTGTAGCTTTGAAAAGGAATCAATCTGCTTGAAGTTACAACGATTTGAAAAAAAAATTTTTGCAAGTGCCCGGGAACTTTCTTTACAACCTAATAATTGGAAAATAGGCTGGCACGAAAGTCCTTGCTTATCAAATGAGACGCAATAGCTCTTCAAATCCTACGCCTAAAATTTCCTTTTATTTTCAAAAATAACGGAAGATTGGGCTTTCACGATAGCTATTCGGCGCCATCTTCTGTAAGCTAGCCAAAACGAAATTTCCATATTGGCTTTTCAAATTTTGCGGTTTTGAGGCCGGAAAATTGCGGTTAGTTTTGAAAATAACTAGTTCGAAAAAGTCTGCAAAAGTTTCTCATACAGCAGTAATCCGCAGATTAGTGTCACAGCTTGTGAATTTGCTTGGAAAAAAGTTAACTCGTCTATGCAGCTTCTTCACAGAAGCAGAGTTCGATGAAGAAAATTTGACCTAATGCTCTACTAAAACATTGCGACGCTTTCGGGGCAAATCATGGCCCGTAGTAAAGCTCGATTAGTTTAGGTGAACTGAACTTAACCCAACAATTGAGCTTACGTCAGGTGAAAAGACGACCGCCCACCTTCCCATGCTATAAGCATGCCAAGTGAACTGACAGTTGACATCCTACCTGCTGCAGTCAACTGATCTACTTGCATCAGTTCACGATCAGTTGAGACGTGAACTGATGTTAGACTAAGGCAAATAGTGTGGAAAAGACAGACGCAGTGAACATTCCCATAAGTTGCTCCTGAGTAACTTACTGTACACTTCAGTTTGCCTAACACTGGGGAGAAAATCGTCGCAAAACTGCACAATACCGGGGCCCGAAAAGGAGAGAGTCGATGAACAGCTGATTTTGGTGTGGAAAGGAAGAGAACAGATTTTTTTCTTTTTTGTAAACTTTGCTGACTTTTTTCCGAAAAGATGCTCGAAACAAGATTTTATTGATTTAATTCATTGAGTTCATATTGCAACCATTTCTTTTTTTTCATGGAATTTTTGTCAAAAAAAGTGTTTTTGTTTTATCCATGCATGTGCTACGCGAAATCCTTAATAGCAGTCATCATCGGCTTCGCGATAGTGGTCGCTAACAAAGACGCCAGATGATAGAGCAAAGGTGTGACGCTAGCCGGTGTTGAACCATGGCCGCGCGCGTTCAGTTACAGTTGCTTACCTGTTCGACCAAACTGGCACAAGTGGTTCTTTTTCAAGCAACACACATGATTCTCATGACTAGAACGCGATCCGCATCCAGATCCAGCTCACTAGATGCTGACTGAGGCGTAGTACGTTCAACGTAGGCTCGCACCAGTCGAGTTGCACTGATGGGGTGTTTACTACGTGCCTATGTTTCTTTCTGGAAAAGTGCAGTGACAAAAGGATTCTTCCCCAGAGTAGCATTCTTACGGATTTTTCTTTTTTACATTTCCATGCGATATCAGAGCCTGCCAGTATGCCATGGAAGAATTTTGGCAGATATTTTTGGCTAGCTAGCGCCTCTCTGCAATTTAGCACCAAGCTCATAAACTCAAAATTTAAAATGCCATTTTTGAGGGTTTCGTTTTCGATGACTAGCTCAGAAAAGGTTATGCTTGCGTTTGTCATGGAGCGCAAAGCTTCCAATAATTCTAGTGAAGACGGAGAATGCTCATGCCACTGATATACTGAGACATGTAGTAATCTTTGCTTTTACACTGTTACCATCTGCACTCGTCTGTGCTTTTTTCGCGTATGCTTTCGATCACACAAAGCAATGCGATGTTTCGTCTTTTCAGCTCGTCAAATCTCACAACAGTCTCATAGGAAATTTGTCACAGCATGATATTCCTCCTACATCATGCTGATAACTACTCAGAAAGATCAATGTACTCAAGAAAAGGTAAATGTACATTATTAATGATCGTCTTCTGCTGTACTTTATCAAATCTTCAAATCGACCACACCTTAGCATTCTTTTCATTTGTTTAGCGGAACTTTTACAATAAATGATCAGAAGGCAAGTCAGAAGGCACGGAAACGAGGAGGAAAAAATATGGGAGGGGGCTCCCATGTTTTTTCCTCCTCGTTTCCGTGCCTTCTCTTTCCGCGCCAACATATCTGCTTACTGCTCTATATTGCATATCTTATCTACAGTCATCACTTGCTGGAATTAACTTGCGCTAAAATCTCCTACTCATTAGTTTGAAGGATAGTTTCTGTTGCATTTTCAGTTTAACAGTTTGACCTTAGAAAAATCAGAGGCGAAAAGCTTCCCAAGGCATGTTGGCGGGGCTAATGACCCATCACTGCCACATACTCTGCCCGTGCGCAAATCACCCATTTTATGGCTGGAAGTCATTTTTGCATCGTTTTTGATAATGACTCATCCTTCCAGATGATCACAAGGGATTGGACAAAGGGTAATGGGAAGAGGCAAAATCACGGTGTTGAGGAGACAGAGGGAACCGACACAATCATGAAAGATGTCTTCATGATTCGACGATGCCCCCATGTTAGCGCTCGTGCGCATCAACCAGCATAGCTTTCTCTCAAAAACTCTAGTTATTCGTGTCGATTTTTATACTGTGCTCGCGGAAAGAATTTTTTCTATGAAAATTTGGAATTTTCTCTTATTTTTGAGAACCTACAGACCAGAGTGTTGTCCCTAGGAAAGACAGTTTCGGAACACACTTCAAAAAATTATAGGAGAGGACAAGCATTAGTAGACACAGAGAAAAAAGTTGCAAGGAGAAAATTATGTAAGCTTGAGTGTTTGGAAAAACTGACGTCATCTTTTTGGCTATATGTGCATTTGCGGTAATCATGCTGGCGGATAGACCTTCGTATGCCCATGCATAATAAGCCCCATTATCTCCGAATTAGCAAAAGTGCTACATAAAACATCCGATAATCTTTCATTTTGGCAGATCCACAATCTGCCTGTCACTCTCGGAAGAGGGGGGGGGGGGGGTATGGAGCAAAGCAGCGTTGCACGAAAAATAGATGGGTTTTACGGATGCAAAGGCTGAATCTCGGATGAGAATAAAAAACTGCTTTCAAGTGTAACACGAGAATTAGTAGAAAAAAGGGACGGAAATTTTTTGCTACTGACTTTCGAAACTTATACTTTCTCTTGGTGGTACGTTCAAGCACTTCTTCCTCAGGATCTATTTTTTCATCCTCAAAATTTGTTTAACTTCCGCATTTTGGTCTATTTACACAAGAATAATTTAGAAAATGACTCAATCCGTTGGGTAACGCTAGCTCCTATGCGGGTGCGATTAGGCACAACGCAAAGGGTCCTTAGGATATACCGCAGGCGGCGTAGCTTTACTCCATAATGACCGCTAACCCTTGATTCGAACCTGCTTACTATCCCAGAAGCATTTCCTTCTCTCCTACTAGGAATACTACCAGCCGCTCTCTGTCGCTACGCGGTAGGTTCAGCTGGTACTCGGTAGCTTCGCTGCCTCGAAAACCTTTCGTTTCAGTCTATATTGCGGAA